ATTTTAAGTATATTTTCAAATACACTGCTCTACATAACATACTTATCATACAGCATTAGTAGTTAGGTATAATGTTAACAGCCACTGTCCTCTTTAAAATATTGGGAGAGATTTATCAATGTAAAAACAGGTACCACTCTGGGACAAAGTGTTAAATAATGACCATTCACTATTGGAACTAATAGAATGTATTACATTATCTAACATCTTGCATGAGAATATTACCTGAATTTCAGTAATCAATTACCCCACCACTCACAATCCTCCCAATATGCTATAGTAATCTGTACGTAATCAGGTAATATTCTGTTCAGATACTAGCAGTGTTATCTGCGTGCACACACACACACATACACACAATAACATAATGTTTAGCATATTTATTGTTATTAATATTTTTTACTCTGCGTTGTTATTGTTAAAACAACAATATCAGTCACCTGTTTTAATCCACATGAGTCACCGTTTTCATTATTTATCACAAGTCCAGACACATTGCCATTAAGGTAAAATGTAATTACAATTTAATTTATTACACAGAATAAGTGAATTGTTGTTGACTATTAAAACAGAAAGGTCTTTGTTGGGGCAGTGTAAAAACAATTTTTTTGCACAGTTCTGTCGAAGACCTCAGTGTTCCTGACGTCCAAACATTAATTGAATACACCAAATAAAAATGTATTAAATTGAATTATATGTACGTGTCCCCAGAATATTTTGCAGTTTATTGTGATGTACCAGACTGTCTGTAATTACATACAAACTGGCTCCTAATACCAGATCACCATTATTTTTGTTATCGCCTCCCATATACCAATCAGCAATTTATTAGATATATTTTTAAAGCTGCATGAATATCATTAACCATCTTAGATAAACTTCGATTTTCCAACATTTTAGGTCCTTGAAGTTATTCCTACATGATGTAAAAAGGTGACAAACTCACCCAGCTATGAAATTGGTAAATACAGAGACAAGTTTCTCCAGGGCTGATATTAGCTGTATCAATGGAAATGTTGGTTCAAAAACATTTTCAATTAATGACGGAATTAAGAACTCTTCAGCTCTGTTTGTTCCCAGGCATTTTACCAATAATTATTATTACATTTATGGCTTTTGCCAGAAGCACATCTTTTGATTTATAAACATATCAAGTAGGATAAACATTGAAATACTATATGTACAAGATGCATCTGATTTTATATATTTACTTATAGACTTTCTTGTTTACTTGTAAGAATATATAGAATTTTTTTGAATTTTTTTAATATTGAATTTTCCACATGATCATGTACAGCAGAATATGACATATCCCAAATAGCATGTATTCAGTGCAATCAATAGCATCATTCAACTTCTACAAAAAACAAGTCCTGAGCTCAAACTCTCACTACTCTTGGGCAGCAGCAACGACCACAGTACACATCAGCCCCAATACATACAGTAAAAACCAAAGGAAAAAAGTTATCTGCACTCTCTCCCAAATTCCTATGTATACTTAAACAAATTATTTAGTTACTCCAATGGCCATTAGATGGAATGCCCACCTGCCACGTCAAGGCAAACCTCTTGGGTTCAACTTCTATTGAATAAATTAAATGTAACATAATGACAGATTTTATTGAAATGTAAACATGGCTGAGCTCTAGACCTGATACCTGAACTTTGATTCCACCCATTGACTTGTTAGTCTCATCCCATTTAAGCCCATGTATTCAGCGCCTAATAAACTGAATACAATATGATGTATTACACTCTACATCCCCTCCACTGAGCCAAGGTGGGTGCTAAGTCATAGGGTTAACTCTGTCCCTAAATTAAATATACAATACCCAATGTGACTCAGAAATAAAATCACCTTTATTTCATCATTAAATGGCCTGGTTATGGGAAGCATCTTCATCCATCAGCTGGGTGAGGAAATTGCAGAACTTATAATGACAGACATTTGTTCTTTCCAACACATGGTATAATTAGACCTTATCATGGCAATAGATTAGATTTTTTTTTATTGTAAAAAATTGGGGGTTGCTGCATTACCTGCCCTCATGGAGCAGCCTCTACTGAGCGCAATTATGTTTTAGAAGAAACGGTATGTTAAATAAAAATGCTGCTGCAATTTGGCAGATGTTTTTATACATTTTGACTGATGGTGAGTTATTTTTTTGTAAGGTTATTCCACTCCATATGAGATTGTGGCTTGGGTAACTTTCTCTTTGTCTTGTCGAATGGTGAGTAAGTGCTTCCTGTGGATGATGAGAGATGAAGTGATGTGGAGTGAGCCTATTGCTCAAGCAGTGTGGAAGTTTTACAAGAGCAGTTATACAAAAAAGGAGAATGATGCACCAGGATGTAAGTGTTAGGCAGGTCAGTTTTTTAACCTAGACATGATATATGGTGTTTCTACATTACACAGTAAAACATAATGCATTTTATAGAGAGAACGTTGTACTTACTGACAAGGTTTTTTAATGCCCACATATAAACTGCAGCTCCGCAGTCTAAGGTTGCACTTAATATTTACTACACAATCTGTTTTCTTATCAGAGAATCTAAACAGAATGTGTTTCAGTACAGATTGTCTAGTTAGTTCTATTTTGGAGAACAGTTTAAAGTGACATTATAGATACCAAAATAACTTTAGCATAATGAAGCAGTTTTAGCCTACAGATCATGTCCCTGCAGTTTCACTTCTCAATTCTCTGCCATTTAGGAGTTAAATCACTTTGTTTATGCAGCCCTAGTCACACCTCCCAACATGCGACTTACACAGCCTTCCTAAACACTTCCTGTAAAGAAAAATGTAATACTTAACCCCTTAATGACACATGACATGTCTGACATGTCATGATTCCCTTTTATTCCAGAAGTTTGGTCCTTAAGGGGTTAAACTTCCCTTATTGCACATTCTGTTTAATTTTCTTATCTCCTGCTCTGTTAATAGTATTTTAGATCCTGCAGGAGCCTCCTGTGTGTGATTAAAGTTCAATTTACAGCGCAGGAGATAAAATCTTCTACTGCAAGTTGCAAATGAAACCATTATTTTCATGCAGGTTTGTATCAGTTACCGCCAGGGGAGGTGTGGCTAGGGCTCCATAAACCGAAACAGAAGGGATTTAACTCCTAAATGACAGAGAATCAAGCAGCGAGACTGCAGCAGCATGCTCTATACACCACAAAGGCTTCATTAAGCTAAAGTGTCCCTTTAACCCCTTAAGGACCAAAATTCTGGAATAAAAGGGAATCATGACATGTCACACATGTCATGTGTCCTTAAGGGGTTAATCAATATGTAGGCCAAATAAGAGTTTAAGATCTAACCATATAAACTTATACTGAATTGACAGTCGGCAACTACCAATCCGACTATGTTTAAATTCTTAAGGGACATTTTCTTTCAGTGGGGATTGTGTCAAATTCTGAAAATGTGAATTGCTTTTTAACACGAATGGCGTTTCCAATAGTTAATTATTGTGTGCAAAGACCTGTTCAATATGTCTCACCGACAACGTCACTGACTTCGCTAAAACAATTATGGGTTTGTGTGTTGTTTCTAGGGGATTAAGGAGAGTTACCACGCAAAACTATATTGTACAAGTATTATCATAGTTACCATATTAGTAATAATAATCATTATAATAACCTTTTGAATCCTAAGATGCAATAATTTATTGTCTTAGCTATCGCACCACTGTAACCAAATAATTTACTTTCACAATATGATGCACTCATAAACATTTTTGGAATTGCAATGTGTGTATTCGTGTAATTCTACACATTATTATTTTATTATTTATATAGCGCCATCAGATTCCATAGCGCTGTACATTGGGTGGACTAACAGACATGTAATTGTAACCAGACAACTGGACGTACAGGAACAGAGAGGTGGAGGGCTTACAATGAGCTTACATTCTAGATGAACATATTAAATGTCCCTGGTTTAGATATATTTTAGGTGAACAACTCAACAGGGAAAGTATAGCTCAGCCAGCGTAGATCTGATATACAAACATATCGCAGAGCTTCCAGGGCCAGCTTACAGAGAGGATGCATAATTCTCTGTGATTTTCAATGTAGCACAAATTCAAGCACTCTGTCGTACATTGTGTCTTTACACTGTTGCTATGCACATCATACTCTGAAAAAAAAAATCTTGCTCTAAAAAAACATAGAAAAACTATTTGCACTAATTACATTTGTGTGCAACAACCTGGTTTAAAGGTCTAGTAAAGAGATGTCAAATTCCTAAGAATACAATTAGCAGAGAAAACAAACATGTGGCTTCTACATTATTCTATGTAAAGGATGTTAAAATGCTATTTCACCAATAAT